AGTCAGACTGCATCTCAGCCCTGTCAAGATGGATCTCCATAACAGGTAATGAATAGTTTTATTTGGGGGATGTATTAACTTTTACTATTGGGGGAAAGTTTTAGATCGGTCTGCCAGTTTGTAACCCATCAAGTTGAGGCCAATAGATATACATTCACAACCCTGTACCCATCAAATATTCAACTTTATGGGTGACTTTGGGACTGATTCATACAACCACATTTACTTTCTCAACGCTATAGCAGCTTTTTCTCTGTGCACTGTGCTTCATTAAGTCCAGGGTCAATGAAGCCATCTACCAAGAGATTTTGGAGCACTTCATGCTTCCTTCCAAAGACGAGCTTTATAGGGATGCTGATTTCATTTTCCAGTAGGACTTTGGCACCTGCCCACACTGCCAAAAGTACCAAAACCTGGTTCAATGCCCATGGGATTACTGTGCTTGATTAGCCAGCAAACCCGCCTGACCTGAACCCCATAGAGAATCTATGGGGCATTGCCAAGAGAAAGATGAGAGACATGAGACCAAGCAATGCAGAAGAGCTGAAGGCTGATATTGAAGCTTCCTGGTCTTCCATAACACCTCAGCAGTGCCACAGGCTGATAGCATCCATGCCACGCCGCATTGAGGCAGTAATTGATGCAAAAGGGGGCCAAACCAAGTACTGAGTACATGTGCATGCTTCTACTTCTCAGAGGTCCAATATTGCTCTATTTGCAGTCCTTGTTTTGCTGATTTCATTTAATATTCTAATTTTCTGAGATTGTTAATTTAGGGTTTTCATCAGCTGTATGCCATAAACATCACAATTATAACAAATAAAGGCTTGATATATCTCGCTTTGCATGTCATGAGTCTATTTCATATATTAGTTTTACCTTTTAAGTTGAATTACTGAAATAAATGAACTTTTCCACAATATTCTAATTTTTTGAGTTTCACCTGTAAGCTTGACTAGTGAGGGGGCTGGGAAGATGGCTTTGTGGTTCAGCATAGGAATGATGTGTGCTGCTTCATATTAATGAATTTCTGTTCCACAAAGAATAAGACTTTGAGCTCTTTGCTCTCATACGTTTAAGGCTTGTCGGATTCTGGAAGATGGAGGGTCTGCAATGCTTTCTAGTGACAACGTGTCAGCCAGCTGCTGCTCTGCCTCTGCCTGCTCCTCCTCTCCCATGATTTCCCATCTTTTCCCCTCCTCTGTCTCTGAGCTGTGACTTCCCCCAAACCCCTGTTGTAAATCCATACTGTCTTTCTCTTCCTCCTCCCTGGAAGGGTCAGGATGGGGAGGTGGTCTCCACCACTCCTCTTCCTCTGGCCTGCCCCTGACATATTTTAAGGCAGACAAGTGTCAAAGAGAACCAAATCTTTACAAGGAAAATCATAGTAAGCACATTATCTAAGCAATCCCAGTGGTGAGAAGAGTTCAGGAAGTTGTTTGTGAGCACCAAGGCTTAGAAAAGCATTGAAATACCTTGATAAACGCAGATAGTAAGCAAGGATGCAATTTCGACTTTCAATTTGGACTTTGATCTTTTGCCTTGTCTGGAATGATGTGTTGCGACTAAAATGGTTTCCACTTAGATTTAAGTCATGTTTACACACAGAAGAAGCTTTTGCTGTGAGACATGGATTTTGTAACTAATTCATGCTCATTTGGAGCAATTGTAGAAACCAGAGATATGGCAAAACAGTATAGAACTGCCCTTTCCTGACCTTTCCCTAGGCACATGTCTACAGCTATTACACAATTTACCATACATAACTCCATGCCCTAAAACATTTCACTTACTGAAATTCTGTCAATCAAGCCAATATTAAAAAAACAAAAACACACACAGAGGGAAAGTTTTTTCCGTTTTCAGTTTGCAAAGTCCAATACCACAGTTAAGTACAGGCCTTTAGACTGGAACAGCACCAAAAACTACTTACCCCCACAGTGAGATGGCTTTCAATCAAAACTGCAAATTGAGAAGGTAGGCATGGGACTTTTGAGAACTATGTTTGTGAATTCATTTTGCACATGTGGTTTTCATTGCACGGAGGAAACCAGTGTGCATTGCCAAGCCCTGTCCCATCTGGTACATAAACGGACACTTTTTTCCAGCCTTACACATGCTGAAGGTCAAATGTCTGTTTTACAGGCATGGGAGCATAAGTTGGCAGTCTGAATCATTATTTTTTACCACTTCTGTTCCTTACCTCTTGTTTATTAAAAGGACTAAGGAAACTTTTTGAACATCACTCCTGCATATTTTTGCCTTGCCTACTTTGGCTATATGTTGTATACCCTCCAACATTCCTCAGATGAAAACAGGTTCGTTCTATTCTACACCTCTGCCCTCCCGTGTGCCTTCCAAAAAAGCACACTACTGATAGAATACAGGAAAAGGGTGGGGCTGGCTGAGCTACCCCAGTGGGACTTACTTTTAAGCAAATACACATGGTTCAAAATCAGCATGGTCCAATCTGTGGGCTCCGCCAAGTTCAAAGACAAGTTTGCTCAAGTCTGAAATCTTATACACACACTCTCTCATTCAAGTCAGTGAGCACACAAAGGGATCTGCGACCCCCTTAAACTGTTAAAAGTGGGAATTTAACTACTATAGGCTTCCAAGGAAATTTTGGTTCTGAGCTGCCGAATTTCTGCCTGTCATACATCTACTCTGCTGGAGGGGCAGTACCAGTCTGTATGCTCAAGGTTAGCTTTGCATATATCTATATACATGATGGTGACATACATATTCACACACTGGACGGGGATTAACACAGGCAACACACCGACGGCTCTGGTACAATACCTGCCTCCTAGCAACTAAACTCAGATGGACAACACTCTCACACACATGCTTCTGAGTGTTGCAGTGCCCTCGCATTCAAAGCCTTGCATTGCTTCTAAAGCCTAACACAAACATTTATTTGCAACCTCAAAAGGGGTTAATCCAAAAGCTTAACACACTTATTCACAACACCGGCCCGATGGCATCTATGCCAGTCTTTTAAAAGACCACACAAAAGTTTAGTAAAGGGGTAGGGTACAAAAAAACCAAAAACACCAACAACCAGTCACACTACCGAAACTTGCAGCTTTCCAGTTTTAAAAGTTGTTGAGGGTCTTGTGTGGGGAAACTTGGCTGGAAGAGTGGGGGGATGGCGACTGGCCACATCTCAAGGGATCCTGTCTCTCCTGGGCCTGTCTGGGGACCAGCCAACCACCTGCCTGCTGGGGGTGACAGAGTGTGGCCTAAAGCAGGACATGAGACAGAGAGAGGGCAGCTCAAGCAATGAAGGGGGGCAAATGCCATAGTCTTGTTGCTGAGCAACAACGTGCAGGGCTCAGTGGAGTGAGAGAACAACCAACTAGAAGAGTCTCTGAAGTGTACTTGCCTGGAGGAAGATTCAGCATCTGAAATCAGGTCCAGTCCTAGGGGTGGGCGAACAACAATCCACATGGTCAGATGGTCCAAGGGTCAGGGAATCCGATGATCATAGGGTCAAAACAAAAGAAAGCAGCACGGTAGGACCAGGAACTACAAGCGTTCTTACTAGCATCTGACTGCTGCTGGAATCTCTGCTTAAGAAGGCTGAAGCCAGCTGCATCTCGTTAGTACCTTTTCCCCTCTGAGTCCTTGAAGGCTGATCAGTTGCAGGTGGCGTCTTCTCTCCCTTCAGGCTGCTGTTCAGCAGGTGAAACTGGCCTACGATAGGAAACACCACATGCACCAGCATGTATCCCATTATGAAGTGAGAGAGAAAAGTCCACAGAAGGCCCCCTTTCTGCACTCAGGGAAGCCATGCCAGGCAACAGACCTCTCCTTGCAGGCCTGGTACTTCACTTCCACTGGCACCAAATAGCTGAGCAGGCACTCGGCCACCATCTTGTGCTATGCGTTTGGTGCTGGCCTCTTGCAGGACAGAGGAAAGAGGGGAGGCACTCGGGATGGGCAGGAGGAGCAGGAGTGGTGGCAGTGAGGCAAGATGGTGGTGGAACCTGCCATGCTGGTACCGCCTCAGCCTGGGTGTCTAATTCAGGACTCTGTGATGAAGGTAGAAGTCATGATGACTTAAGGGTTTTTGTGATGGTCCTTTTTTTTTTAAGGGCATTTTCCCATCATCCCTGACCACTGGTCATTCTGGCTGGGTTGATGGGAATTGCAGTCCTGCGACATATGAAGTGCATCACACCGGCTACTCCTGCCATAGTTGATATTGAGCTAGATGACATGCATGGAGTGTTATGGGAGGGGTAGTACCTCTGGTGGGAAACATAACCTTCTTCTAGGGTAGTTTGGCCACCTTAGATACCCTCCTGCACTTAGTTCTCACCTGTCGCTCCCAGAAGCTGTCAGCATACAACAGTGGCCACACCCCTGGATATGGCTTCAACTGGCCAGCTAAACCAGGTGAGGGTAGTTGATGGGTCTCCAACCCTCAGTGAGTTAGGGACTTCCCTCTGCATGTGAAGACAGGCTCTAGAAAATTGAGTGTATGGGACTAATAATGGATCCTACAGACAAGAAGACGGTTTCTGCATGTGCTGTAGAGAGAAGTGAGGAGCAGATGGGGATCACCAATCTGGGAAGGGAGCCCACCTAGGAGAAGAAAAACTCTGATCCTAAACCTCCATTGCCTTGAGGGATATCTTTGGGAGAAGAAAAGGCTAAGGAGTAAACGAGGCATAGGCAAACTCTGGCCCTCCAGATGTTTGGGACTACAATTCCCATCATCCCTGATCGCTGGTCCTGTTAGCTAGGGATGATGGGAATTCTTTGCCTGTGCCTGGAGTAAACCCTACACAAATCCAGAGTGGAGTCTCTAAGACAGTTGGCTTGCACCTTGTACACCTTCTTCCAGCAACTTCTGGTGCCAAACGTATTGCTCTGCTTTCCTTTGGATCAGATCAGCAAGGCCAAGAGCAAGGTCTTGTCATCTGGGAAGTCCAGGACCTCCATACACACTGCCCAGTCTTCCATCTAAGGGAGGTCACTTCAGTGCTGCTAACACAGTGGTTTGACTTCATCCCCGGAGGTGTACTCCATTGTCTCTCGAAACAGATGGATGCCAACAGATGGACCAGTGATCTGATCTGGTATGAGAGAGCTTCATCTGTTCCCATATACTGTGAAAACAGAAATATATATTTTTTATTGCATCACTATTAAACCTTTGTCTAAACCATTAATACAAACAAAATTAGGAGTAGCAGCAAGTATTTTGCGTTACTGTTTCATTCTGACTCAGCTGTTAAGTCATCTTTAATGAGTAGATAAATCAATAACCACAATGAGCTTTGGAGGACACGCCACTAAGCAAGCTACATATCTGGGCATTGAACGATCGACATGCAGTCATAAATATGTTCAATAAGTGATCATAAATATCTTCAATATGGGGAGGGGAATCAGTGCATGCAGCTGTAAAGCTTTCATGATGGAAAATCATTCTCAGGGTACCTACTTGCAATCTTAAAATCCCTTAGATAAAGGCTCAGCATTAAGCAAGTTATCTGTAGCTCCAAGGGTACTTTGGCATATGCATAATCATTGCCAGCATGAATAACATTCAAAACACTCTTTGGGGAGGCACGCTTTTGGCATTTTAGGGTTAAGCAAGTGCCTTCCTCTCTCCACAGACTGCAGTAATAAGAGTTTGAGGCTAAGAGCTCCCAACAAAGCAATCTGTAGGCCTGCTGAGAAGGGAGCTTCCTCGTGCCTTTTTACGACAAGCACATCATCCAGTTGCTATATTATTGATAGATTAAACAGGCACAGGGAGCAGTGTGGGGGTGAGGGAATAAGCTAACCCAAAAGCCAACCCAGGGAAGCCACAATTAGTTTTTCTGAGTCTGTATGCTCAAGATTAGCATATTTCTTCATGGGAGATATAGAACTATCAGGTGCATTTAATCACTTCCGAGAATGTTTGTCTGTAGCTATCTGGCTATTATTCTAAGGAGGAAAGCAATGCAAAGGAACACAGGAAGAGACAAGTGTTCTAAAGAGGGTGCCTCACAGCAGGTCAGAGTTACATGTTGCGTGAGACAAGAGACAGCCATTGTTTTCAATAGCCCTGTGTCAGATTTAGGACAGTGTGGTTGGTTGCCTTGCGCAGGGTGCCAAGCCAAGGGGGTGCAAAATTGAGAAGATCCATAAGTGAGAAGATCCATTTGGGGGGGCACCATATTTTGGGCTCGCTCAGGGCACCATATCACCAAAGATTACCAAAGTTTGCCTCTGAAGTGTTGGACTCAACACTACCCCCATGAAATATCTACAATCCCTCCCCCCATGTTGTGAAGCCATCAAATGAGTTATCGCACACAAAGGAAAAATTCACGGCTGGATGACATCATGGCATGATTAACTGATCCTAAACACTAAGGGAGCAACATTTTCAATAAACTAGGGTCACAAGTGACTGTAGTATTACTTTTCCAGAATTTCTCCAGCATTAGCAAGTGACTTCTTTCATTAATCATCAGTTCAATTCAAAGTGTAGATTGAGTCACTACATATTCCTGGCGAAAATTCTACTTATCATCAGCACCTTAATACTGCTGTAAGGAGGTTGCAAAGAAAGGGAAGCACAGAATGGAGAATCAAAGTTTCTGTTGTTACAATGCAACAATAGAGTCAACTGAATACACCAAATGAAGCCACATTTTCCCCACTGCCAATAACAGAATTTATCTGAGAATCACAGCATTTGGCAGGAGTGGAAACTTTTCCGAAGAAGAAGAAGAGTTTGGATTTGATATCCCGCTTTATCACTTCCCGAAGGAGTCTCAAAGCGGCTAACATTCTCCTTTCCCTTCCTCCCCCACAACAAACACTCTGTGAGGTGAGTGGGCTGAGAGACTTCAAAGAAGTGTGACTAGCCCAAGGTCACCCAGCAGCTGCATGTGGAGGAGCGGGGAAGTGAACCCGGTTCACCAGATTATGAGTCCACTGCTCTTAACCACTACACCACACTGGCTCTCAGATCTACTCTCTGTGCTACTTTCTCGCAGGCTCCAAAAGGGTTCAGGTAATCAAATGAGCCATGTGGAGCATGGAAGAGGTGGTTGGTTGGTTGGCTTTTACTTTACCTCCCTGCCCTGGAGACTTTGAAGTGTGTAAGGTAGGTTTCTAGTTTAGCCACTGGGACACTCTCATATCCAGCAAGAAGATGATAAACACACCCCTGTCAAGGCAGAAATACTTGGGCTTAGTGGGATAAACAAGGTGGAGCAGATTTAGACTCTTCTCACACCTAGGGATGTGCTAAGTCATCATCCTGCACACAGACCAGTCCCCCCCCTCCATCTGACCAGTGCTGCCTGCAAAAAATTGATTTTGCTGGCCCTCCACACCTCCCCCCCCATGCAGCAAATGATTTGTTTTCCTACAGTTCATAAAGCTTGCATTTAAACATATTCACTACACTTTTATTATGTAACGAATTGTGCTCAGGCAGTGCCTGTTTTAACCTTGCTGCTCAAGAGGAAGAGGATTGTGGCAAAAACACACAAAAAACCCCCACCACCTGTCAAAACAGTTTCCATTGTGAAGTAGATATTCTGGTACACTTCCTTTTCTTGGGAGAATGGGATTCTGCATAACTAAGAAGTTGGCCAAGTACAGGTGATTTGTTGCCATGATAGCTAATGTTAGTGGTGTTGTCTGGAAGCAGTCATGTCAGTATAACGTACATTATGATAACATAGGAAAAAAATTCAATTTGTAGAACCAGCCACTACTCATTACCGTATTTTTCGCCCTATAGGACACACTTTTCCCCCCTCCAAAAATGAAGGGGAAATGTGTGTGCGTCCTATGGGGCGAATGCAGGCTTTCGCTGAAGCCTGGAGAGCGAGAGGGGTCGGTGCGCATCGACCCCTCTCGCTCTCCAGGCTTCAGGAGAGCCCCACCGCCAGCCCCACAAGCTCGGGGGACAGCGGGGAGGCGCAGCGCGCCTTTCCCGCTGTCCCCCGACTTGGTTAGAAGGCTGGTGGGGGGCTTCCCCCTCCTCCAGCCCCGCAAGCTCCTAGAGCAATGCCAAAGCTGCACGCAGCTTCGGCATGGCTCTGGGTCCCGTTCTGGGGGCTGGGGGAGGGGGAAGCTTGGGCTTCCCCCTCCTCTAGCCCCGCAAGCTCCTAGAGCGATGCCAAAGCTGCACGCAGCTTCAACATCGCTCTGGGTCCTGTTCTGGGGGCTGGCGTCGGGGGAAGCCCGAGCTTCCCCCGCCCCAGCCCCGCGCCTGGGGGGAAAATAAATTTTCCCCCTTTATTTCGCCCCCCAAAATCTAGGTGTGTCCTATGGGCCGGTGCGTCCTATAGGGTGAAAAATACGGCAATTCACTACAAAACATAAGACGGGGTAGGCGACCTAAGGCCTGTGGGCCGGATGCGGCCCAATCGCCTTCTTAATCCGGCCTGTGGACAGTCTGGGAATCAGCCTGTTTTTACATGAGTAGAATGTGTGCTTTTATTTAAAATGCATCTCTGGGTTATTTGTGGGGCATAGGAATTCGTTCAATATCCCCACCCCCAAAAAAATATAGTCCAGCCCACCACATGGTCTGAGGAACGATGGACTGGCCCATGGCTGAAAAAGGTTGCTGACCCATGACATAAGATGAGGAGGTTAGTTCCAAGTTGCACTCTGGGGTTCCAGAACACCCAAAAATCATGTATATATGCAAATGTGGATAATTTCTCTGACATCCCTACTCACACCGAAAGGCCTCTGATCTATTGCTTGGGGGGGGGGGGAGATCTCCATTACTTCTGAACTCTGTGATAGGAACTTGATGGTCCCCAGCCATACTTCGACATTCCAAAACAAGAATACGGATTGGCTATAGCTATTGAACACACTGTAACCCTAATTTCTATCTATATCTATGCTGCAATAAAACACAGTGCTTAATCTCTACTTTGTAAGGCAGTTGTAGAAAGAAGAATGAAAATAAAAAACATAGTGGGAAGAACCTTTGAATGTGTCTATTTAGCTAATATGCAGACCCTTCAAGTGTCCCTATTTTCCAAGGACAATTCCAAACTTAAAGAAGCCATCCCAGTTTCTGATTTGATCCCAGAATGTCCTGCTTTACCTTAGGATGCCCCTCTTTTTATTGGAGAAATGTTGGAGGGTGTGGAGTTAAGCGACCCCCGAGCCAAGGAGGTAAGTAACTATACATCCTTTAGAAGACATCTGAAGGCAGCCCTGTATAGGGAAGATTTTTTTAAAAAAATATTTAATGTTTTGTTATGATTTTATATATAGTGGAAGCCACCTAGAGTAGCTGGGGCAACCCAGTCAGATGAGTGGGTATTATTATTATTATTATTATTATTATTATTATTATTACTGTATTATTATTATTATTTCACTTGGGAAGACAGGTGAACTAATGTCACTAGTGTCAAAGCAATGATGCTTAAACATGAACTTCATTGGACTGGTCATGTGGTTCAGATACCCGATTATCATCTTCCAAAGCAACTACTCTATTCCCAACTTAAGAATGGAAAGCAAAATACCGGTGGACAACAAAAGAGGTTTAAAGGTGCTCTCAAGGCTAATCTAAAGAAATGCACTATAAGCACGGAAAATTGGGAAACACTGGCCTCTGAGCGCTCCAATTGGAGAACAGCCTTTACCAAAGGCGTCATCGACTTTGAAGAAGCAGGAACTCAGGATAAAAGGGAGAAACAAGAGGAAAGCACGTTTGGCAAATCCTCACCATGATCAACTCCCACCTGGAAACCTTTGTCCCCACTGTGGAAGGATGTGTGGAGCCAGAATTGGCCTCTACAGTCACTTACCAACACACTGCTAAGATCATATTGGGAGGCAATCTTACGCAGAAGAAGAAGAAGAAGAAGAAGAAGAAGAAGAAGAAGAAGAAGAAGAAGAAGAAGAAGATTAAATAGGATGCCCCTATTTTCATGGGAGAATTGTAAGAGAATATGTAATAGTCATCAATAGCACAGTTCAGAACCATGCAAGCCAGGCTCCAAGCATACAAGCCTCCAGGCGGAATGCCTAGAAAATGTTTTGTGTGTGTGTGTGTGTGTGTGTGTGTGTGTGTGTGTGTGTGTGTGTGACAACAATCTCTCCATAGAACAATGATTCTTGGCCAGATGAGTGCATAAGCCTGCTCCAGTTTAATGAATATTTGCAGATCTCCAGCTTACAATGCTTTCTATAGAACACAAAGTGACATAGTCCTTACGAAGTGCACCGACAGTCTAATATTGGATGAGAAAGCGAACAGCAATCAAAGTGCAGCTATGGGTTTTAGATGTGCATTTTCAGTGTCGCTTAGCCAAAACAAGACTGATGCATTAAAATGTCAGCTTCTTAAAACACAAAACTGGCACTGGAGAAAGAAGATTTCTGACAAAATGTATTGCAAAATTTATAAACTTAGTAGCAAAATCATATTGTGATATTATGGAATGTGTTAATATAGGTCCAGTATTTGGAAATAGTACTGTGGGGAGGGAAGGAGCAACGAAATAAATTAAAGGACAAAGGAAGAGATATTGCAGTTCAGAGACTCTAGGTCTTTTCTGTTCCCTAATTTACAGGGGGAAAGAAAACAAGAAGAAAAGTATAAAGCAGAACAACCTATGTGTAATTCCTGAGAGTCGTTAAAGTACCGTTGAGGAAAATGTGTAGCATTACTCTAAGGTGCATAAAAGGTACTACAGACACATGAAAACGAGGTGGGAGCTTTCTGCGGGAAAATGAGCACACTCCTCAGAGTTCTGAATTACTGTACTTTAGCTAATATTGTAATAGGAAGCTGACAGCTGAGAAAAACCAGACACGGGGATAAATTATCCCATGCCAAAACAAAATATGTTCACACTGAAATGTGTATTTTGGAGAGAGAGAGATCTTTCAACAGATGCTTCATTTTGGGCACTCTTTACATTACAGACCATATATATTCCCCAGCAACTACTGCATACATTGTACATCACAGCCAAATTGCACTCAATAAAACATCACATTTTAGCAACTCACCTCGTCAAAGGCTCTTTTTGTTAACATTCTTCATCATGTCTTGTTTCCCCCCTCACATTTCCACGTTCATTCGTCCATCTGCAAGGAAACCAAGTGTAGCTCTATCATGCTTTGGAGCAGGGTTAGGAGAACTTAATGGGTCTCAAGAGAGTCTCTGGGTCCATGGAGTCTAGTTACTTTTGAGGAAGCTGATAGCCTGTAGGGGCAGAAATAAGTCTTAAAATCTGACAAAAGGAACAGATGAGGTGTTAAATGCATGGCACAATGGGTTCTTATTATTTATTTATTTATTTTGCATTGCTGCTTTTTTGCATCAAAAGATGGGAAACACAGACTGGCCTTTGTCCAGATGACATGCTCCTATCATCTCAGTCCATTGAATGACAAGCTACATAAACAGGCTAAGTAGCTTCAAACTCATGTAAGGAAACTAATATCTGGGAAAAAACAACAACCAGCAACAACCTATCTAATGATAACTTGGGGGGGGGCATGCTTATAGAAAAAAATGGAAGAGTGGCCGACTGGGTAGGCCCATTCCATGTACAGTGGTACCTTGGGTTAAGAACTTAATTCATTCTGGAGGTCTGTTCTTAACCTGAAACTGTTCTTAACCTGAGGTACTAATGGGGCCTCCTGCTACCGCTCTGCGTGATTTCTGTTCTCATCCTGAAGCAAAGTTCTTAACCTGAGGTACTATTTCTGGGTTAGCTGAGTCTGTAACCTGAAGTGTCTGTAACCCAAGGTACCACTGTATTCAACACCTCCGAGAAACAAAGTTCAGGTGAGAACCAACTGTTCCTTCTCTGGAGGTGATGAACACATATCATGGTGAATTACACTAAAACTATGGACCTACTGGGTGGGAACAGCTGGCCACTGCTAAAGAACTTGTTGTGATATGTGTTACCCAAACGCTGCCTCTGCAGATGCATACTTCTGTCATGTTGGATAAATGCTGATGGGTTTTCCCACACAGCTGCCGACACACACCTCTTGCAGAGGAGCATTGGAAGCAAATGTTGCCACAGACTTAGTAGAACATGCTGTAACACGTTAAGGAACGAGCAAGTGAAATTTTCCAGAAGCAAGCTGTGTGCAATCCCAAATCCAACTTGCCAAGGATGAACTAGTCACTTTCTTCCTGGGTAAAATGAAACTAAAAATGAATCTGTTTGATTGGTCGAATCCTGTGGATGGATACATTAAGTGCTCACTTCACATCCAAAGCATGCCATTCTTTCTCAGGGGAATGCAATGACCAAAAAATTGGCAAAATTAATTCATGCTGTCTATGGGTTATGGTGGGGATGCGGGTGGCTCTGTGGGTTAAACCACAGAGCCTAGGACTTGCCAATCAGAAGGTCGGCAGTTCGAATCCCCACCACGGGGTGAGCTCCTGTTGCTCGGTCCCTGCTCCTGCCAACCTAGCGGTTTGAAAGCACATCAAAGTGCAAGTAGATAAATAGGTACCGCTGCAGCAGGAAGGTAAACGGCGTTTCTGTGTGTTGCTCTGGTTCACCAGAAGCAGCTTAGTCATGCTGGCCACATGGCCAGGAAGCTGTATGCCGGCTCCCTCAGCCAATAAAGCGAGATAAGCGCCGCAACCCCAGAGTCGGTCACGACTGGACCTAATGGTCAGGGGTCCCTTTACCTTTACCTATGGGTTATGGTAGAGTTTTTCAACCTTTTTGAGTCCATGGCTCCCTTGGCCAGCTGCACTCTTTCTGCGGCACCCCTCTGGAGCTCAGGAGCCCAGTTACGTCATGCTTTGTCTGCACAGCTGGCAGCCCCTCACTCTTTTTTGAACACCCTCCCTTGTGGAGTGTTCCCTCAGTCGCCTCTCTTCTCCTCTCTCCTTAGGAGTCCTTTGGGCAGCCACTGCTGTCACCCCTGGTCTCTGAGCTGCCTCCCCCCTCCCCAAAGAGAGGTCTCTCCTCACACTGCCCCACAGGGGCCTGGGAAACACCCCCTGGCCAGCCCCAGAGGCACCATTCACCTGGGGCGCTTGAAGCCAGGGCAGCTGCATCAAATAGCCATGCAAGCCTTTGGGGGGCAGAGCTATGAGAGGGCATCTGAGGAAGGGAGGGAAGGAAAGAGGGACAGTGGCCAGTGTTGCCCACGGCACCCCTGACCATCATTCAAGGCACCCCAGGGTGCCATGACACACTGGTTGAAAGCCACTGGATTATGGAATTAACCTTCAAAATGAATGAAAGATTCATCCCAAGGACTACCCTATCTAAATGAGAAACACATATTTAGTCCCCAAAAATGCTTTGAGGTCAGAAACTCTAATTTCAGGAGTTACAGCCACTAGGAGCAGAACCTTAAAGGACAAAAGTTTTAATGACACTATTCAGCAGCTCAAATGTCAGCTTTTGTAAGGCTATTAACACCTTGTGCAAGTCCCCTGGTGGAGTCCTATGGACCACTGAAGGGTATCAAAAAATGCCCCTTTCAAAAAATAATAATTCACCCATGAATGGGACCTACTAGTGGAAAACATGGCACAGAAGAAATGTCATTAACACCTTTCTGAACACTGACCACCAAGGATCACAACCTTGGTACCATTTATGTACAATAACAACTTACCCTTAAACAAAATCTTAGCAGACTAGAAGTTGAACTTCTGACATTGCTACAGATATGGATTCTTTCCGAGCACCAGCTTCTGATGCCCAAATTTCACTCTCCAGGGCTGCTTATCTGGTGTCAAGTTCTCACCTCAATACACTATTTCCACCCATAAACTCAGGGGTGGACTTGGGTAATCTTTCATAATATGGCGCCCTGCGTGAGACCAAAAGTTGGTGTCCCCCAATGGACCTTCTCAGTTATGGATCTTCTCAATTTGGCATCTGCCTACACCACCCAAAATCCTGTGTGGCATAAACCACTTGGGCTGCACAATGTGTGTGCTTTCTTTCTACCCCAACCATGTTAAGAAATCAGACGCTAAGGTTATCTCTGGAACTGCTCACTGACCATTTTTAATGCTCACCATTTTCATGTGTAAGTGATCTTTTCAAAATGTTATTCCTGCTCTCTGACAGAAATGTTTAATAGCCAAGAACTCCTCTGACAAATTCTGGGTGGGTGGGGGGAAATAAGCCCCACTTGCCTTCCAAAAGGGCATTAACCTATAATAGGAAGAAATTGAATTTCTCTGAAAAGTCTGTGGAAATGTCTAAAAGGAGGATTTGACAGAACAAAAAAATTAGCTAAGTGGCATATTGGGAGAGGGATTAAAAATCTAAGCAACCTTATTTGCAAAAGCAGTGCTACATTTAATAGACTTTGGCATATAAAATATGTCAGTTAAAACACAAGTAAAAGATCAGATGTCTATATACTCTAAACTGGTGGGTGTAAAATTAAACAATTCACTTAGAACTTTTTGAAAAAGGTCACACATAACACAAGGTTGCTTTCATGTATGCTATTTTCTATTTCAGACAAAACTAACAAAAACATATAAATCAGAGACTACATTAAATAATCTGAGCTTCTGCTTCTTGTCATTTGCTTCTCTTATTCCTGTTGTCACTTACATTTCTATTTCATATCTTATGAGTTTTGTGGCAATAGAGAGAACTTCAAATGGAGTCTTAAGGACTACCATGAAGGAGTTATGCAGGTATGAAGTTAATGACACTGCTGTTCACCATTTTATAGAGATTCATGCCCCTAGCCAAAACTAACACAGTACAGTGGTACCTTGGTTTAAAAACAGCTTAGTTTTTGAACAACTTGGATTAAGAATGCTGCAAACCCAGAAGTAGGTGTTTTGGTTTGTGAACAGTGCCTTGGAAGCAGAACATGTTCCGCTTCCTGTTGAGTGTAAATTGAGTCCCCCGCTGCTATGGGAAAGCACGCTTTGGTTTAAGAACACTTTGGTTTAAGAATGGACTTCCGGAACGGATTAAGTTCGTAAACCAAGGTACCACTGTACAAGTCTTAGCCACTAACCAGGAGCAAGAAAAATAACCTGAACCTGTTTTTGTGTGTGTGTGTGGGAACAATTCATATGCAACATTTCCCCAGAATTATAGTGATGCCAAGTCAGTTCTTGAATTATGGTGCATTATGGCAGGCTAGCATATTGCAAACTTGCAGAAATGTGCATAATTGTCCTGAAACAGGCTTTGGAGTTGCCTTTGTAATGTTGCAACCACTGCAACACTGTCCTACAGAAAGGGCCTTGCTCTCTGTAGTTCTCAAACCAGTCTCAGGAAGCAATGTGGAACAAGGTCTCTCACCTTAAAAACTTAGCACATGGGTGTGGGGGTGCATGTGTATGTGCATGCATGTGAGAGAGGGGGCTCCCCATGATCAAGATCATGTAAGACAGGCTGCAGAATGTTGATGAGGCCTGGCCCCCACCTTGAAAATTTTAGGGAGGCTTGGTCCCTGTCCCCTAATGGCACCCCTGTCTTTTATGTTCTTATCTCTCTCACATCACTCTACCTTCACAAGACAATTTCTTCTGATGACAAGGGGGAATATTTTACTTTCAAGTTAAACTGAAAAGAAATTGAGAGTGCTCTTTTAATTTCAATTCATAAAATAATGTGCATCAGGATGGAAGAAGAAGAAGAAGAAGAAGAAGAAGAAGAAGAAGAAGAAGAAGAAGAAGAAGAAGAAGAAGAACTTATCTCAGGAACTGGAAGGGAGCAAAGTCAATGATGTTATCAAAGACAAGCACATCAGCCCACCATAAGTGTTAATTATAAAAGGTAAAAGGTAAAGGACACCTGGATGGTTAAGTCCAGTCAAAGGTGACTATGGGGTTGCAGTGCTCATCTTGCTTTCAGGCCGAGGAAGCCAGTGTTTGTCTGCAGACAGCTTTTCCGGGTCATTTGGCCAGCACGCCTAAACTGCTACTGGCACAATAAAACACCGTGACGGAAACCATAGAGCATGGAAACACTGTTTACCTTTCCGCTGCTGCGGTACCTATTTATCTACTTGCAGGGATGAGAACCACCAACCTTCTGATTGGCAAGCCCAAGAGGTTTAGTGATTTAGATCACAGTTACACCCACTCCCCCCATTTCCCAATTAACTATGCCTTACACTGGCTTACAACCTGAGCAGAACTGCAAGATGGACAAAACAAAGAAAAAGAGAGAGTGTCATTATTAAGGTAACGGAGTTTTCTTTTCAATCTGGAGTAATTAAACC